TCTGACTCAGATCGTGGAGCTAGGTGTTATGCTGCCATAGCGTCAAATATTTGGAACACTTTTGAAAAGAGTGGTAAAAACCTGTTGAGAGACGATGGACTAAAATTCTTGCTAATAGGGTGTGAGGTATGAATCTTGGATAAGATTATATTTATACCCATTTTTATGTCCACTGATTATTGGTTACCTTTCATAAATTTCTTGGAAAGGAAGGGAACGTTGCAGTAACAACCGTTAATAACATGTTTTTATGCCTTGTCGCAATGCCTGAGGTTGATTTAGGAATAGTGAAAGCAAAGGTCAGTTTTTTTCGGTTATAACCGATTTTACCTAAAGCGAAATGTCCTAATGATTTATCATTATACCAAAGATTGATGCCCTGACAAGACATCTTGAAAAACATTTTCAAGTGGCCGAACATTCATAATCATTAGGAGGTTCTTTATTGCACTGGCTAAGAAAAGCGTGTACAAATACTATAAACTTATACAATGTACGATAATGCTAGGCTCACCTATTGACTTAATAAACTCTCTCTCTACAGATGCGTTTGTCATCTTTGTATAATAATAAACTTACGCCCATTGATTATTAATATTTATTATTTTTAATGCTTGTACGCGAGTCCACACATTTGATAGATCGTTTTCCCGAAAATGTTGGTTCTGCGATGAGTCGAGATGTGTTTTTCATCGACTTCATAGGGCAATGTTATACCGTGATTCCTTCAAATACTGGTTTGGGGCATGTGTGATGTACGTTATATGTCTGACTGAGGTTCCCAATGATTTCGGATTTCAACCTATTGGATCTCAGGTCTTATATTTAAATTTATTATATGAATCATAATAATCATTATATGAATCAATGCATTTGTACTGAAAACATAAAGGCACCTTTCGGAAGAAAGTATGGAATGATGTCATTATTACAAAAGTAACTATTTCATCGCACAAACCCAAATTTAGAAATATCCCTGACCGAATTAACGAATAATAGCCGACACTCAACACTTACCTCCTCGAGTCGTGTAGTTTAGTAACTAGCATGGTGCTAAGAAAAATGATGCTGATAAAGTATTAGGATTCCTGTTTAATGCACAAGAGCGTATCTATACATGCAAACAAAAAAATTCGTATGCACGTGAAAACTCTTGCTTCTGTGAGTATATAGATTACAGACGAATCAGAAATCAGCAATAATAGCAATGTCAACCACTTCGCAACAACGACGAACTTCGACACCTAGTTTAAGGGTGTTGACACCAAGAAAAAACTCCAATGCTGGTAATTGCTTATATTTTATATTGTCTGTTTACGAGAAGGGTATGATCCGAAATAGGGAGCAAAGTATTCTTTACATTTTAATAATATATATACATATATGCATGCGTTTTTTTTTTTTGTTTTTTTTTTTTTAGCCGTGGAAGAATCTTTGAAAACCTACAAACTGTTGGAAGCGCTCCGTTCAGGTAATTCCGCATGCATTGCCTTTACGATATCTAATCATTAGCAATTCTCATAATCCTACTTTTCAAATGTAATATGAAGGAGACACAGCTGCACTCAGTACAATCCTACTAACATACCAATCATCCACTCCTCCTTCACCTGCCTCCTCTACCTCTCAATCGTACTCACAAACTGTAACTTCTACTTCACCTCTTTTGTTGGCTACCCAATGTGCCTCCTATCAGACTATAGAATTTATAATCAATAATCTTCTCGATAAAATTGACATCAACCATCAAGATCAGCGGGGAAACACAGCGTTGCACTATGCATCCCAGATGGGGAGGATTGATGTGTGTGAATTGTTGTTGAAACAGAAAAACATCAATGATGCGGTGTTTAATGGCGAGGGAAAGCAGGCGATAGATATTGCCAAAAATCAAGATATTGCGGATTTTTTGGAGGGTAAGTAATAATTTGATTAAAAAAATTTTTTTTTGGATATTTCATCTGGGTGCTAAAATTGTCAAACTTGTCAGAAAACCGCACAGAATACGTTAAAGAGATTTCCCAACTTTTTCAACAATATGTATCCGATTCTAATTATGTCGGCATCCAAGTTTTGTTTCAAGATCCACGTGCTTCGGCATTGATTGATATAAATCAGCAGAGTTCGTCGGGATCGACATTGTTGCACGATGCTGCAAAGAAGAAAGACCTGGAAATGGTTATGTTTTGTTTGGATCACGGAGCAGACGTGTCTATACGCGATCGAAAACGAAAGGTGGCAGCGGACCTTACCAAGGATGAGAGGATTAAGAATGCACTTAAGCAGGGTAGGTGTGGAATAGAAGATTAGGAAATTAGAGAATGGGGAAGTGATTTGGGAGGTACGAGTTGTAGTATATGGGTGGTGTCCAAAACGAAGATTTTGGTGTTTAGCATAATACATACTATATTTATAATATCTGGTTTATTTCATTATATTCACCAAATATTATATATATATACTAGCCTTGCCTGTGTCAAGCCAAATATCATTATCATCATCAATACCAAATCAACCGCCAAAACTAAAAGGCTACTTATTGAAGTGGACAAACTATGCTGGAGGTTATAAAAATCGATGGTTTGTGCTTGAACATGGTGAGTTTTTAATTTATTCATTTTTTTTATCTTTAAAGCTTCCATACCACTTGTCTCATTAGGTTATTTCATTTCTATTCATGTTATTACTCACGTAAGGGATGCTGTCATATTTCAAAAATCAAGATGATGCCGGCAGTTCATGTCGTGGATCAATTAATATGCG